CGACACGTGGTCAGGGAGAAGCACCTTATGCCCTGCGCTCAGCCCTGCAGACCTGGGGGAGCCCATGCCCCCAGGATGTGCGCAGCTTGCCTGGGCCGCTGTGCAGCAGGCTGAAAGAACCACACTGCCGCCGTGTGGGCGCCTCTGCTCACAACCACTGCTGACGGGCTGCCGCCGGCTGCAATGTTTGAGCCCACGTTGCTCTGATGGCCCTAGAACAGGGGTCCTCAAACTTTTTAAACAGGGGGCCAGTTCACTGTCCCTCAGACCGTTGGAGGGCCGGACTATAGTTTAAAAAAAAACTATGAACAAATTCCTATGCACACTGCACATCTCTTATTTTGAAGTAAAAAAACAAAACGGGAACAAATACAATGTTTGTATTTGTATGTGGCCCGTGGGCCGTAGTTTGAGGACCCCTGCCCTAGAATCTAGGCTCTAGATGGCTGGCTGGTCCCTGAGGCTGAGTGGAGGAAAGGCAGCAGTCTAGCGTTAGATCGGACCTCTGCTAGGGGAAGTACAGCACCTTTAAGCTTCCAGCTCCTACTATCTGGGTGACCCTGGACAAGTTACTTAACCGCTATGTGCCTCGGTTTCCCCATATGTAAGTTGGGGGCTGTAACAGTACCAACCTCATAGGGCTATAGGGTTAAATGAGTTAGTGCATGTGGGGTGCTTAGAACAGTGTCAGTTGTTTGGTAACTTTTCAATCTATCAGTAGCTTTCAAACCCTTTGACCACGATCCACAGTAAGAAATACATTCTAGAATCTATCTGGTTTGGCTCAATGGATAGAGTGTTGGCCTGTGGACTGAAGAGTCCCAGGTTTGATTGCCATCAGGGCCACATGCCTGGGTTGCAGGCTTGATCCCCAGTGGGGGGCATGCAGGAGGCAGCTGATCAATGATTCTCTCTCATCATTGGTGTTTCTATCCCTCCCTCTTCCTTCCTCTCTATATTAATCAGTAAAAAAAAATTTTTTTTAAAGTTAACTTGGCTTACTCAGAGAGCCTTCTTAAAAAAAAAAAAAAGGAATACATTCTATATCACAACCTAGGACAGACATATAGAAATAACTTGAACAAAATAATACTTGTAACATGCAGCATTCTCTATTTTCAATTCTGTTCATCTTTTTATTTATTTATTTTTTATAGCAAAAGGTGGACATTTATTGAGAAACAAGCACAGATTCCCACGTGGGGAGGGGGAAAGAGTCCCCCAATTCTGTTCATCTTTTTAAAGCTGATCACAACCCACTGAATTGATTTCATGAACCCACTGGTGACTCACATATCACAGTCTGAAAAACCACATAAATACCAGACAGGTAGCAGTAGAAGCTTTACCCGGAGCTCAGGCTGCCAGTCCTGGCTGCCTCCCCTTCCCCTCACCCCTGCACCCTGAACCTGCCTTTGACTTGGCAGACAAGCTGCCCTACAGCTGAGGAGCCCCTTTGTGGCCTAGCATGAGTGCCGCCCTCTCTGCGTGCCTCACAGGCTCCCTCCTTCCCTCTGCAGGAGGGAAGGAGATTCATTCATCATTCATCCAGCCCTGACAGTGCACCAGGCCCTGTACCCCAATCTTCCTGCAACCTCACAGCCCTGAGAAGAAGGTATCTTTGTTCCCATTTCTCAGATGACAAGTCTGAGGCTAACAGAGGTAGAGTGACTATGGTGTGGCTGAGTTGTTGAGCACTGATTTATGAACCAAGAGCTCACATGCTCAATTCCTGGCCCAGGTTGATGATTCTATCCCTCCCCCTTCTCTCTAAAAATCAATAAAAACATATATATATATATAATTTAAAATAATACATAGGACTGGTTTTCCTTTGGATTTGGAGTGTGAATCAAGCAAGGGCATTGGCCTTCCAGAAAATGCTGAGGAAATGCTGAATAGGGTTAACAGGTGGCTCTGGAAGAGAAAGTGCTGGAGACACAGAAAAACAGAAATGAAAATGGACAGGGTGGAAGTGCCCGGCCAGATGGCATCAGGCATCAGCAGGAACAGCTGCACCCAGGGATGCTGACCTCAGGAGAGCCAGGGGGGCTGGGGGTCCCCCTGTGGATCACCCCTGTTGGCTCCAGTCCTAGGTGGGGACAGAGGCTAAGCAAGAGTCAGATAAGGTGGAGAAGGCCATGCTGCCAGGCCCTCACCTAGTCTTCTGCCTGCGATGAACAAGGGGCTTTATTAAGTAGAATCTGGCTGACATGGCTGCTGGTGCGCAGGGGATGTGCACCTATCCCAAATATTCCCTCACCTCATCCCAGAAGAAGGCCCCTGGGCAGCTGTGGCTGTGGCCCCGCCCACCTGGGGAGTGAGGGAGTGAATCTGCCAGTTGGACAGAGGAAAAATAATTTTGTGATCAAAATGAATTGCGGGGGTGGGGAGAAGCATGGCAATGACTTTGGAAGGCAAAATGGGGCTATGTACGTGGTGGGGAAAAGGGTATTTTGTGGTGGGAAGATTTGATGAGGATCCCAGCTGTCTGTTCACGGAACAGATCATCAGAATACCTACTATGATGCACCAAGCCCTGAGGTTAGCAATGGAGAGACAGAAGCCGACAGTCTAGTGAGGAGTGAGGGGTAAAGAAACAGTAAGAACAGAGTACCGAGTGTGTTGACTGGCAGACGCACAGGGGCTGTGGAGGCTCAGGGAAGGGTCTCCAGAGACGATGCTTAATCTGGTATCTGGAAGCCTTTTCTCGGGTGGAGGGAGAGTAGAGGGAAAAGCCTCCCAGTTATAGGGACCAGCAATACCAAGTACAGACGATGCAGGCGTTCTGAGGTCTGGGGACCAGAGGATCCGTGACCCACAGTGGGTTCTCTCGGCTTCCTGCGGGGAAGACTTCAAATGCCAGCATCGTTTAAAGTGAAAGTGGTTTTATCAGTGAAGCAGTGAGGCCGAGAATGGGCTGCTCCACCAATAGAGCAGCTTCTTTAGAGGAATTTGCTGCCTTTATTGAGATGCATGTAATCCTGGGTGTAGGGAATTCAATAAGGGACAGGAATATTCAAGATATTCTGGGGAACAGGGTGGAGATTTCTCTGGGGAGCTCAGTCAGCCTTTCCCTGCCCTTATATGGGCTTTCTCTTTCCAAGCATGATGGTGTGGTGTGTCATTAGCATGTAATGAGCATATAATGAGGCTGGGGGTTACCACCAGGTGAAATTAGTTGCCGTGTTGGTCCAAGCTGGTCTTTGCTGGTTTTAAGCCACAAATTCGGTGTGAGGGTGCTCGTCCTCCCTCCTCACAGCGCCTGTAGCTTTTACTGACTGCAGCTGTTCCGCCACATACCCCATCTCACAGGGAGGGGAGAGACATTTACAAGAGCTCTGCAACTGCAATTGCCACTGGCTGGAGTGTAGGCTGAATGGAGGTGTGAGATGGACCTGCTTCATGACCTTGGACAAGTCATGGAACCTCTCTGACTGCACTCGACTCCCTTAGATATCCAAAGATAGGCAGCTCAAGGAGCATCTACTAACATCCCCTGTGAGTGAGGCACTGTATCAGGTTGGTGCTGGGCATATGGAGTCAGATGAAAGCTACAAATCCCTACTTTTTAGGAAGCATATGGTCTAGTGAAGAGACAGACACTGCAATGTGTTCTGTGAGAGTTATGAACAAAGCACTCGAGAGAAGGAAGCAATTAATGCTGCTCAAAGAAGAGGGGGTGAGTAGTCTAGGTGTTCAAGCAAGTGGAGAGAGGGAAAAACACATTTCAAATGAAGCAGGGGTGAGGAGGAGAACACACTGATGTATTCACAGAACCATAAGGGGCCACGAGTGCTTGTACCGGGTGCAGAGGAGCCAAGAGGTGGTTGTGACCCCAGCCTGGGACACACAGATGCCTAGACCCCTACTGTCAGACAGGGAGGGACTGACGTTCCTCTGCCCTCCAGGTTCTTGTAGCTGGTCTAATAGTCAGATAGACACAAGGCAGATTGGCAAGATAAAATAACCAGGTTTCTTTTCATACATATGTATGAGAGCCCCGCATACAGCAGTCAGAGACCCGCGTGCAGGGGAGGTTCAGAGATAGAAAGAGAACCGGGTACAGAAGACATTCTGAGCCAGGGATGGGGAAAGGTGCCTTGGGGGCGCCACAGGATCGTTGCAAAATGAATACAACAGCCGTTTAGTAAATAGAAGTTTGCTGTGTCACGTAGAGCAGCGGGCGCCAACCTTTCGGACCTCACGGACCAGCAGTGGTTGGCTGATTAAACACCTACATCACCGATGTAGATGAACTGGAAGAGATGATCGCTGCCCTAGAGTGTGGTCCTGGGTTCGATTGCAGCCGAGGGCATGCACCTTAGTTGCAGGGCAAGTGCAGGAGGCAACTGATCAGTGTCTCTCACATCGATGTTTCTATCTCTCCCCCTCACTTCCACTGGTTAAAAATCAATGGGAAAATATCCTCAGGTGAGGATTAACAACAACAAATTATCGCTGATAATCTCTTTATTATGGGCAAGGCCCCTAATTCAATCTCTTCTAGATAGTTCAAGGGAGACGCAGATGTTGCTCTTGAGCCTGAGGCTAAAACTGCCCTCATCTCAAAACAACCCACATCCCCCAGGAGCACGTCTGGGATGACAAGCTCTGAACTCGCAGCGTGAAGGGCCTTTGCCTGGGGCCTCAAAGGCAGGCCCTCCAAGAATCCACACCGTCTGATGCCCGAGAAGCCCAGCCCTCCCTGCCACATATTGGGAAACTAAAGCCCGCGGGGCACACGAACTCACTCAGTTGCGTGGTACAGAAAAGGGCAAAAGCGGCCTCCTGACGCCCAGTCTTACGCCTCTTAACGGACACTACAGCTTGCAGGAGCTGAGCTCCCTCATTTGTAGACATGGACGGAAAGGACCTCTCAGCACCTTAGGAGTTTGGGGAAGACAAGGAATGAGGCAGAAGGATGGGCAGTGGTGGCTGAGCTTAAAGCAGACTGAGACTCCAGAGTCACACCTCCCTCCCTCCTCTCCCAACAGTACCTCCCTCGCGTTCCCGCCTCCTTGCACCTCCTCTTCCGGACCCTCCTCTTGGGCCCGCCCGCCTCTTCCGGTCCCGCCCCCGAGAGCCACCGCCTTTCCGGTCCCTCCCCTAGGGCCCGCCCTTCCTTTTCCGGCCTCTTCCCCAATCTCCAGAGCTCCTTTTTTCCGGTACCTCCATGAGGCTCCGCCCCTTTAGCTGTCACTTTTCCCGCCATCCCCATTGGCCGAAATCCGAGCCGCACCCTCCAGTTGTGCTGAGACGTGCCCCAGGTTGCCCGTCCCCGGAAGTGACGCTAAAGGCCCGCCTCTAAGGAAGTGACGGCAGAAGTGCCCTTGACAGGCGGGAGGGCCGGGCTGTGCATCTCGCGCTGCAGGGAGGTAGGGAGCCCATGTGGGCGGCTGGAGGTGGTGTCACGGCCGAGGCACGCTGCGGGCGCGCTCCCGCGGGGTCCGGCGGCCGAGTGGGCGGAGGCCCCGGGCGGGAGGGCTTGCCTTCGGGAGAGTCGGGGTCCCTGGTGGGGTCGGGTTTCCCCAATTCCGTCAACACATGCGTCCCTTCTTTTTTAGTTACCCCCCACACTCCTGTTTCTGTACCTTTTGGTTCCTCCGTGAATTGTGGTTCCTCTTTCCTGTTTTTTTTTTATACTCCCCCACGCCCCCTTTCCCTTAACTTCCCACTAAAACACTTATTAAAAGGGATTGATAGTGTAAGGACTTTGCAGACGGCCTAGGGTTCCCATGTTGACTCTTATGTAAGAATAGTTGGGTTATACTGGGCGCGCCACAACGGAGCCTCCGCTTCCCTGCCTGTAATACCGGCAATACTATATGTAGAAACTTTCTCAGAAGTTGGTCTGGGAGGACAATCATGTATATAAAGCACGTGGCCCTTAGCAGTAAATATTGTGTTTTTTCCCCCCGCCCATTCTTCTGTTGTAATAACACCGATACCCTGATTTCTTTTTGGTTGTCAACCCAATTTTCCTGTCCTGGTTTGCAATTCCTTCTTCCCTTTGATTCTCATTCTGCACTCACCTCCACTCCGGAAAGCTTATGTAATTCCTGGCATTTTGCTCCCAGCCCTGAATCCTGAGCCCCCGGTCCTCCCACATACCTTGCTCCCATTCTCTGCCACAGCTCTTCCTGCCTCTCCCCCTCACAGATGGCTCAGCGACTTCTCCTGAGGAGGTTCCTGGCCTCCGGCATCTCCAGGAAACCCCCTCAAGGTCGGTGGGCACCCCTCATCTCCAGGGCGCTGCAGGCCCCAGAGCACAGTCCTGGTGAGCTGACAGTAACATCCCGCCAAGCCCGGCCATTACACACCACCAGAGTCTGCACAACAACCTTCAACATCCAGGATGGACCTGACTTTCAAGACCGAGTTGTCAACAGCGAGACACCCGTGGTGGTGGATTTCCATGCACAGTGAGTCCTGGGGCCCAGGAGCAGACGGGGTGTCGTTGTTCAGATAATTTTGAGTGCCAGCTACGTCTCAGTGCCACGTTCGATGCTTCCCATACAGAGACTCGCTACCAATACTGGGAGGACCCAATCCGTGCTCTCAGCGATTGAGTGTCGTCTGGTAGGAGGCAGACCAGGAAACAGTCTTGAAAGCTCACTGTGATTAGTGCTGGGAGCCACCTGTGTTCTGTATTCACTGCCCAAATGGCTCAGCGTCATGTTCAGCTGGGACCAAAGCAGGGAAACTATAACTAGAGCAGTGGTTCTCAACCTCGGCTGCACATAGAATCACCTGGGAATCTTTTTAAAATCCTGATTTCTGGGCCCCATCCTCCGGAAATTCTGTTTCTTTGTTATGGGGTGAGGCCACAACATTAGTGACAAAGAAACAGAATTTCCGGAGGATGAGGCCCAGAAATCAGGATTTTGAAAAGATTCCCAGGTGATTCTAATGTGCAGCCGAGGTCGAGAACCACTGTGCTAGAAGGAGCCAGTGTAGCCTGAGTTACAAGTTGGGAGGCTTTCTGCACAGATCTCTGACAGATTCTTTTGCTTTTTTTCCTGTTTTCTCTGACTCACCATGTCACCCCAGGAAGGCCATTTGATGCCCTTGTACTTCTCTTTCTTCACTTGTCATAGGAGACGAGGTCCTGCAGGCTGGGTTTTGAGATGTTGAAATCTCTGAGTGGAAAGGGTTTTAAAGGCTGAAAATGAAATAGGAGTCAACAGCCAGGGATTCATGGAAGGCAGAGCTGTTCTGCCCTCCTGGTATAGTGAGCGCTCCAGAGAAGGCTTCCAAAGTGAATGACAGCCTGGCTTGTCTGCCTGTGTGGTTAGAGTGTTGGCCCTCGCACCGAAGGGCCTCGGGTTCGATTCCCAATCAAAGTTACATACCTGGGTTGCAGGTTTGACCCCCGGCACCAGTCAGGGCACATGCGGGAGGCAACAGATCTCTCCCTCCCTCTTTCCCTTCCACTCTCTAAAAATCAGTGTGAAATGAATGATAAATGGGGTGATACCTTGTGGAGAAGCGCGGGACTTGGTTGGAATGTCTGTAAGGATTCTCTGAAAGGTCGGGGGCCTCTGGGGGGACCTTGCCGAAGGCGGCAGCCCCTGCCTTGACTTTCCCAAACAAGCCCCGTGCTTCCCCACAATACTTCATTTTCTTGTCCAACAAGGAAGCAGGGTGTGAGTTTGTTCATTCAGTGCCAGGCACTGTCCTTAGTGCCACATACCTGGGGATGACAACCTGTTCTTGAAAGCTCACCACCTAGAAACACAGTGTTCAGTGCAGCGATAGCCGCTGACACGGGGCCTGGGGAGCACAGAGGAGCCAGGGGCTAAAGGAGGACACTTGGAGCACAACCTTGGGTTGCAGTCTCCGCTGTGCTGCCTACCAGCTGTGACCTTGCTAGTTTCTTAACTCGCCCGGGCCTCCATTTCTCAGTTTTCTTATCCTTTGCGGGGCGGAGGGTTCTGTGTAGGGAAAGCTGAGCCGATCCTGGCACAGTGGCTGACATGTTGTAGACCCCGCCCAGCCATTGGTTTCTCCTCCTTTTAGTTCTGAGTCAGTGAAGTCTTCGAAGTCACCCTACAGTTTACACAGCATGTTCGCCCGTGCTGCCTTCGCTGACTTCTCATCACAGCCCTGAGAGTAGTCTCTTTTTCACATGAGGAAACTGGGCCCCAGAACGATCAGCTGGTTGGTGGGGAGCCTCTCTTTGAACCCAAACCTTTTAACCTCAAGTCCTGTGTTTTCCTACATGACAACACATTTCTTTTAGCTCTGTCGAAGTAAGTGAAATAACCTTTATAAGAGTCTCAGGATGAGGCCCCGTTACAGAGTCTCTTGGCATTTCCATTTGGCATAGAAGCATTACAGGTTAATATTCAAACACTATAAACAGGTAATAAGGGCAAAAGGTCCCTCGGAAAGATGTGGGTCAAGGGCATGTTTTGGGGAGCCCGTAGGTCAGTCGGTGAGTGCTTTTGTGACGGGATGCTTCCTTTCTCCCCTTCCCAGGTGGTGTGGCCCCTGCAAGATCCTGGGGCCAAGGTTAGAGAAGGTGGTGGCCAAGCAGCATGGAAAGGTGGTGATGGCCAAGGTGGATATTGACGACCACACAGACCTCGCCATAGAGTATGAGGTATGGGTGGGCAGGGGATTGCCACAGGGCAGTTGGTTTGGGGCAGTGGTCGGCAAACTGCGGCTCGAGAGCCACATGCGGATCTTTGGCCCCTTGAGTGTGGCTGTTAAACAGAATACCAACTTCTGTGCATAGGCCACGAAGTTTCAGTCGTACTGTACATGCGTGCCCACACATGGTATTTTGTGAAAGAGCCACACTCAAGGGGCCAAAGAGCCGCATGTGGCTCTCGAGCCGCAGTTTGCCGACCATTGGTTTGGGGGATGCTTGGGGCCACGGGATGGCTGGTGCAGGAGATGGATGTCTTGGAGACCAGTCAGGGAGGTGTCCTGATTCTCCTGGAGCTCTCAGTGACTCAGAGCACTTTGCAAAGGTGACTCCGTTGAACCTCTCAGCCGCGTGTCTCTCTTTGCCACCTGTAGAAAGTAGAACGTACGACCAGGCGGTCCTCTGCATTCCGGGACGTTGATGCCGTCCTTTGAACCCGAATTCATTCATCCACAGGTTTAGTCAGCAGTCGTTTGAGAGCCCTGCAGTGTGCCAGGCATTCGGGCTCTGGCACAGATGAGCTCCTTGTCCCCAAGCAGCCCTTAGTGTCGGGGACAGAACAAGCAGACAGGTCATTTCCATGTAGGATGAGAAAAGACATGCACAAAAGAAGGGACTGATTGTATTGGGGGGGGGGGCGTTGCCGAGGCGGGGGACAAGGAAGGCATCATATTAGAGGGACTCTGAGCAGAGCCATGAAGGATGCATGGTGAAGAAGGAAGGGCCAAGAGCAGGGCATACACAAGGACATGAAGTAGCCTGATTTAGAGTCCCTTCAGTGCCAGGTGCTGTTACTTGGTGCTGTCCAAATGGCAGTGAACAAAATGACAAAATCCTGCCTTCGTGGAGCCTACGTTCTGGTATTTTAGGTTAGGGTTGGCCAACTCTCTCTAAGGTGCCAGCGGGCACATATTTGAAGATCCATAGGGCATTGGTCTCTATTGCAAATAACTGTCATTTTAGCACTGAAGGGGCTATAGACAGTATATAAACAAATAGGCATGGTTGTGTGCAAATAAAACTTTTATTTACAAAAACAGGAAGCTGGCCCTGACCGGTTTGGCTTATTGGATAGAGCAGGGGGCCAGTTCACTGTCCCTCAGACCGTTGGAGGGCCGGACTATAGTTTAAAAAAAAACTATGAACAAATTCCTACGCACACTGCACATATCTTATTTTGAAGTAAAAAAACAAAACGGGAACAAATACAGTATTTGTATTTTCATGTGGCCCGCGGGCCGGAGTTTGAGGACCCCTGGGATAGAGCGTCGGCCTGCGAACTGAAGGGTCCCAGGTTCAATTCCGGCCAAGGGCATGTACCTTGGTTGTGAGCACATCCCCAGTGGGGAGTGTGCAGGAGGCAGCTGATCGATGTTTCTAACTCTCTATCCCTCTCCCTTCCTCTCTGTAAAAAA